GGGGGGGGGGGGGTTTGGTTTTTTTACACAAGAAAAGAATTTCAACAAAGAGTTAAAAATTAAACAATATAGCAAGCTTCCTAAAAGTTACATAACACATTCACTAAGTACCATGGTTTTACTTTTTTTTTCTTTTGTCGTAACTTTAAACAATGTATTTCTCAGCCATATTTTGAGTAGTTATCTTCCTAAAAATAATTTTCCCCATTCTAATCTGTCCAGCTGGTTGAAAGAAGCCATACATTTCTTCTCATCCTCAGTCCAAATTAAAATCATTTTTGCAGAAGAGCATTTCTATTTAATAAAAAAAAAAAAAAAAAGTTTTTTTTTACCTTTGCATACAGATGGAGACAAAAGTTTCCCAGTCCAAAGAAAATAATGGATCCTGCCATCTAAGCTATGCAAAGACACACTGAAATTACAAGCTTAATCTCATAACTTTAGTGAGGGATTGATGGCTGCAAGCTTTTTCCTCAAAACATCTTTAAAATAAAGGCTCAGATGAATTGACATCATACGTATACTCTGTTTAATGCTCTTTCCCAAGACTAATTTATCTATGTAATACTTAATACGAAAACAGACTGGAGCATATCTTTTGCATACAGTATCCTTGTTTAATGTTGATGGTATTAAGCCAACACTTTAGAAAGAGCAGGCAGATTTTTAATGGTCAAATTTGCAAATCTATCACAGTAAGGCTCTCCTTGCTCCTCCCAATATAATTTTTAAGTATTTCACAGTTGTTTTTTCCACATTGTAACATCTTAATTCTTGTCCTAACAAATACGTTTATTGTGACTGGCTGGGATAACAGCATTATTTTAGTTCCTGTTAAAAGATGTGCAGTTGCATTGGGAAAAATGAAAAACCTAAATTGTGCTGTAGTTTACGTGCACAACAACTACACAATGTTGCATAGTATCTGTTCACAAGCACAGTGTTTTCTTTTTTAATTTCTGAACTGATAAAAGAATTGTCATGCTTTACCTGTGATTTCATCTCATAAAGCGTAGCATCCTCTGGAGTTAATTGAAGTGCTTTATCCCACTTTTGAATAGCCTCTCGGTACCTGTAGTTAAAACAATATTACAGTCTCACTATATTTAAAGATATTAGATATTTCTATTTATATCCTGACATTGTCCTAAATAAAGTGCCATGATTTTTTCTAACCACTTCCCTGTAAGACATGTTGAACTGTTTTCAGAAACTGACTATTTGTTCTTCTGACCAAATGGATGTTAAGTACTACTGTACAACCGGCCTCAAGAGAATTTACAAGTCAACAGAGGAAACCTATGGCAAAGCAATGACTTGAAATCTTGAACTAAGTCCAATTCCCCTCATTGTCAAAATCATCCTTGGTGAGGCATAAAGAAATAGAATCTGAACCCAACATGCCTTGCTACAGTCATAATTTAAAATTTCTTTTCAGTCTAAAAAGGCTGAAACATTGGAGTTACTTACCCTCCTGCATTTCTGTACTGTAAGATACTAAAGACATCTGAATAACTTTGGTATATAAATATAAGAAGGAAGTTGAAAGTAAACAACTATACTGAAATCACTCAACTTTGGGAGGGTATACAGTAGCTTCATAATATGTTGCCCTTCCCTACCAAACAGAACAAAACAGAAGAATTGACCAAAACCAATACAAAGTAGGTCTTTGTCTTGAACAAAGAGGTAAAACTTGGAGAAATGCATACTAGGGTTTCCAGAGCAGTCACATGAAGACTTTAGAAAGTTCTGAACCAACTGGGAATAGAAGAATAGATTGGAAAAGCAATGCAACTGAAGTAAAACTCTCATTATGATTCAGGTATTATTAGTTTGTAAATGACACTGATAAGTATGATGTTTAATTTGAGTGCTAAGCAAAGGCTGTTTCAATAAATTTTCACATTTCCTCAAAGTTTAGCCACCAGCTGTGCATTTGTCATCTCAGTTCATTCCCAATGGGCAGGTGTTCACACTAAAGAAAACATCACCACATTTTCTACATACATCAGCAGAAGCCTTAAGCTGTCATTTAGTTAACAAGAACTACTTTTTGAGTAGAAGACTATAGTTTTGTTCAAGACCTAGCACAGACACAGCATAATAAAACCTACATGCATAAGAAAAGTAAGGCCTCAGCTCAGTTAGGTGGTGTCATGGCCATGCAGCAAGGCGCAAGGTTGTGTGTGTAGCAAAAAAATTTAGAAAAAAACAATTTTGGAAAACAGAGCAAATACAGTAATGACATCAATAACCAGAAAGGAACGAACAACACCGGCATTCTGCAAATAGAAAGATATAAGACAAAGTTGCATTTCAGGAATCTTCATTTTTACTTCTACAGAAGGGACATCATTGCTCAAACTGTCAATCTGAATGGGATAAAAACTCCTAGCAAGAACATGCTACCTCTGAAGGGAGCACCAAATATAAGCAAACATTGCCTGAAATCCTGTTGGGTTTTGCTGCCAATTTGTCAACAGTCTGCCAACAGAATATAGATGGGCAAGGGAAAAGAGGTTGTCCATTCACAGAAATGCTGTGCTAGGAGTGTTCTGTGTATGAATGCTCTCTGCCTGTGAGCCTCAGAAAGTGTGATCCAAGAGAAGTGATGACAGAATGCCGGATTCGCTTCCCGGGACTAAGAACACAATGGAAGAGGGATGGAGACGGAATATTTGTCTGCAGGTAGGTGCTGAACCGCCTGCTCAGAAAGACTGAATGATGACTACCAGTTTACAGTGTGGAGATATCCACACAGCTGTGAAATAATTGATCTTCTCAGTGCACATATTTCCTTAAAAAGAAAGTCTGATAAAACATGACTGTTCTATTCTTTTAAATGTTCAGGAAAAAAGATGTTTCCATTGTTGTTCCAGGAAAAACTAAGGACACAGTTCTTAAGAGAAACTGAGCCATGTTGCTCGCTCTAGTAATACAAATTCAGGAAAAAATTCCTTTCGATAGTACATTAATCAAAGAATCTTCTACCTCATTCTTTCAAAGGAAAAGATTATATACTGTACTAAATATCAAATGCCTTACTGAAGAAGTTGCCTGGGGATATAAGATACAGTTGTAAACTCAAGATTCCAGTAAATGTTTTATGAAAACCATAAACCTTGGCTGAAATAAGAAGTGAGCTAACACAGGGGTAGTATCATAAAATAAATAATTTAAAAATAGATCATTTTACTGTCTCAGAATCATTTTTGACCTGAATTGTACAACCCCTTTACCATTATAAGGAGGGAGAACTAGTTTTGAAACAGAAAACTTCAATATAAATATGACATTTGCTTTGGGTTTAACTGACACATTTAATGAGCATTCCATTTGCTCTTCCCATTTCTTTTCTTAGCAAGTAAATAAGCTCACATACAGTTGAGTGACTAGCAGGTAGCAAGCTTGTATGCATCAGCTGAGCTGCAAAAACTGCCATGTCAGAGCTGGCAAAAGTGAAGTAATGAATTTTAGCTTAATGCTGTTCCACTAAGGTCTACCTCAGCTTCTTCCCATATGCCTGATATGGAAAGAGAGCGCATGTGTTCAGAACACATGCTATGGCACAGCTGATGCACAGTAACATGCATTTGAATATTATGTCTCTTCAGAAAAATGGGTATGAAACCTAGCATTGCAAAAATTAAAATAACTTGTATCAAAAATAACGGCTCAGAAACAAGGATGAGACTCAAAAATAGCAGATCCATCCACTGGTGATGCTATAAACCTTCTTCAGAAACCTCTGATATTTATCAAAGGGCAGATTAATCCCAAGCACTAGCTGGCTGGGGGCCTACTGACTGGAAAGCAGCTTTGCAGATAAAAGACGTGGGGGTCCCAGAGGACAAGAAGTTCAGTAGGAGCCAGCAATGTGCCCTTGCGGCAAAGCAGCCCAACAGCATCCTGGACTGCCTTAGCATCAGCAGCAGACAGAGGTGATCTACCTCAGCTCTGGTGAAACGATGCCTGGAGTCCTGGGTCCAGTTCTGGGCTGCCCAGTATGGCAGAGACATGGACATACCAGAGAGTCAGCAATGGGCCACAAAGATGATTAAGGGCTTGGAGCATCTGTCATATAAGGAGAGGCTAAGAAAGATGGGACTATGCAGACTAGAGAAAGGAAGGCTCAAGGAGGACTCTTATCAACGTGTAAAAATACCCAACTTGCAAGGGCGGGGGCGGGACGGGACGACAGGTAAAGAAGATGAAATCAGACTCTTCTCAGACATGCCCAGTGACATGACAAGAAGCAACAGGCACAAATTGAAGCACAGAAAATTCTGTTTAAACGTATCTCCATCATTGGAGATACCCAAAACCCAATGGGATAACATCCTGAGCAACTTGCTGTAGTTGACTTTGCTTTGAGCAGGAGTTGGAGTAGAAAATCTTCTAGGGTTCCTTAGGATTTTATGATACTAAGACATCAACAACCTCAGTGATACATGATTTAAGATGAAATATGATTATCGCTTGGCTAAATGAAAATGAATTTTAAGCAAGATATAATCTTATAACAGACCCGTTAATTTTTACATGTCTGTGATTACTGTAAAAACTTATCTAATGTAGCAGTAAAGAAGATACAGAATATTAATAATGGGCATATTTTGATTTTATAGAGTATCAAATTAATATTACCAGCAAAAGTAAAAGCCTGATCTGTATATACATTGTAACTAAGCATCTAAACTCCACTAATATAAAGCATTTTTAAGAAAGAGTATCACATCTTGAAGTATTTAATTACTATTTGAGTATAGAAATACAGTACACTCTAATTTTATCTGCCCACAGTGACTTCAGTAAAATAGTACACCTCACTACAAAAAATTATACAGTTATAACCAGAATTTAATTATAATTTTCTCTTCAATGCCATAAAAAGGAATAAATTATTGAGAACTGGATACATCTGGGGTGGCTTCAGTGTAGAAGACTTGATGGATCTTGCCAACTTTTATTTAACGGCATACAAAATCCCACAGCTCCCCTAAGGTACTACAACTGCTCTCTTCAGATGTGCTACTGACCATCTGGGAGCTATACAGACTTGGCACACTTTACTACAGCTTGCTAAACGTCCGAAACAAACACCTCATGCTTACACTTCACTTTTTCAACACAACTTCTGGGAAAACAGGATCTCTTGAACTCTTAAACAAAATCCTTAAAACAAATTCATATTTCCATAAAAAATATTTAATTGGAGGCTTCTGGGTAGGAAAAAAGCAAACCTTGTTCAAGTTACACAGAGATCAGTTTCTGAATGATACATATGTGTATATATAAAGCTAAAAACCATCACTGCATATCACGCAGGATCTAGAGTCCTGTAGCTTTACTCCAACATGCTTGCCATGGTTGATGCTTCAGGAACAGAGGGAATGCTCAGAGTGACACTGAAAATATCTGAAGACATACTGAAGAGATGAGACAGTATCAAATTCAGACAAAAAGAGACAGGCCTGCAGGAGAGGCAGAGCACAGAGTACAGTGTCAAGAGAAGGGATGAGGCAACATAACTCCTGGGAATTCTTAGATACTTGGAAGGACACTCCTACAATCAATGTTACAGGAGGATGAGGAACTAACAGAGCTAAGGAAGAGGAAAACAACATTTTAAAAAGAATATAGCTAATTGTCAGATATTCATATCGTATCATAGAGGATGAAAATGAATGGTCTGTGGCCACCAGAAACACCAGGTAGTACAATTTTAATCTAGTGTAGGGACAAATTCAGACTTTGGTGGAAGCTAGAGAAAGAGAAAACTAATCAGTAATTATACAGAGTACATAAAAAGGAAAGAGAAATGAAAAGCCAAGCAGAAGCTAATTGCAGGAATACACTTCCCTTTATAAGCTGAGAGATGATGCAGGGCGGGACTGTGGGAGAAAAGATTCAAACAACAGGTAAAAGGAGGAAACTAAAAACAATAAAGGAGAATGAACATAACATGGCTTTTTTGTGTTTAACAACTTCAGAGTCCTCTAACCCAGCTAGGTTCTTAGAGTAAAATACTTCCTCTGCTGGGGATGGTGTGTGACTTGTATGGCACTT